AAAAAATCTACAATATTTTTGCTCACAGCCCTAAACAATGGGAGATATTGCAAACAAAGATTGGATGCTGATTGCATAATCTGTCTCAGACTAGATCAGGGGTTCCCAAACTTGGTTCATGGCTTGTTCAGGGTAAGCCCCTGGCGGGCCACAAGATGCTTTGTTTGCCTGAGCGTCCGCAGGTACGGCCGGTCGCAGCTCCCAGTGGCTGGGGTTCGCGGTTCCTGGCCAATGGGAGCAGTGGCCCAGGCCACTGGCCCAGCCGTTTCCCACAGCTCCCATTGGCCGGGAACGGTGAACCGCAGCCACTGGGAGCTGCGACCGGCCGTACCTGCAGACACTCAGGTAAACAAAAGCGTCTCACAGCCCGCCAGGGGCTTACCCTGAACAAGCCACGAACCAAGTTTGGGAACCCCTGGACCTAGATGGTTAGGTCACATGGAAAGTGTTAAACCAACTGCAAAACATTTGCCACTAATAACACATGCACTTATCAAGAGTGAGGAACTAAATCTGGCTTCTGAGTGCAAAACAGAGTTAAAGGGAATTCAATGCTACATACAGTCATTTAAATGTATTTGATGGCAACAATATGGCCCAAAATATTGGTGGTCATAGATCAATGTAATAAGGTTCTTCAAATCAAGAGAGGCAACTCTTGATGTGGAAGTACAAAACATTGACAACTTGATTGAGGAGCTTAAAGAATTACATGGTAAGTGGAAAACTCTTCTATCAGAAGCCAAGCGTGCAGCCAAAGCCATGTCAACAGACCTGCCATCCAAAACTAAAATCCCTGAGAAACGCACAAAAAAGAGAGAGCTGTTTCACGATGAAACATCAGAAGTCCAACTGGGAGAAGAGAATGAAGAGAGAGATTTTAAAGTGAATGTTTGTTTTGTACAAGCTTGTTGACTGTGTAATCGGGGGGTTGACACAGTGGTTTGTCATGGCCAGAGATATCAATAATTATTTCAGCTTTCTGTGGTTATATTTGGAATTCACTGATACTCAAATTTAAAACGTGTGTTCTGCTTTTTGCAGAGAATATGACAATGATGTATCCATGGACATCATCGATGAGATGAAACACATGAAAGCAATTTCTAAGGCAAACTTTGGAAGTGCACCTCTCAAACCACTAAAGCTGATAAATAAAATTCATGAGTTTAAGTTGGAATGTCTTTTTCCTAATGTCACCATAGCTCTGGATAGTCTGCAACATACCAGTCACTGTTTCTGAAGCCGACAGATCTTTTAGCAAAATGAAACAAATCAAAAGTGTACAAAGATTAACAATCGAACAAGAAAAACTTAATGGTCTTGCTCTTCTTGCTATTGAGCAAGATCTTGTCAGGTCATTGAACTTTGAAGATATAATTGATGATTCTGCTGCCAAAAAAATCCCGAAGAGTTGCATTTTAGGACCCCTTCCACATTCAGATATTATGATTTTTTAAAATCTTTTAAAATACTTGTTTTATTATTGTATATTTTAACTTTGTTGTTCATATTCAGTTACATCTTGTATATCAGTTTTTTTCCTTTTCTGTAGATTAAACACCTAATTATGATTCATGTGTAATTAGCCTACTTGATACTTTAGGTGCTTTCTTACTTTCTGCTCCTTTAAATGTTTTATATATTATTTAATTTCATAGAATCATAGAAGATCAGGGTTGGAAGAGACTTCAGGAAGTCATCTAGTCCAACCCCCTGCTCAAAGCAGAACCAACACCAACTAAATCATCCAAGCCAGGGCTTTGTCAAACCAGGCTTTAAAAACCTCTAAGGATAGAGATTCCACCACCTCCCTAGGTAACCCATTCCAGTGCTTCACTACCCTCCTAGTGAAATAATTTTTCCTAATATCCAACCTAGACCTCCCCCACTGCAACTTGAGACCCTGGCTCCTTGTTGTGTCCTCTGCCACCACTGAGAACTGCCTAGCTTCATCCTCTTTGTAACCCCATTTCAGGTAGTTGAAGGCTGTTATCAAATCCCCCCTCACTCTTCTCTTCTGCAGATTAAATAAACCCAGTTCCCACAGCCTCTCCTCATAAGTCATGTACCCCAGCCCCCTAATCATTTTCATTGCCCTCCACTGGACTCTCTCCAATTTCACTCCATAATGTATTTATTTAATTTAAATATATAATTCAAAATAACAAATTCTATGTCTTATAATTAGGCTCACAATTTGTTTAATACTGGTGCTGTAACTGGGGGGGAAAAGTTAACTACATCAAGCAATGCCACAACTTACGTATAGTGGGTTCTAATGTGTTATCAATAGGATAAACAGTAGTCTAAACGTTAGCCATCCCTTTCTAGGGGGCCCATTGACTGTTCTGCACTAGGGCCTGGAAGTGCTGTTGGTGGGCCTGACTGGCAATTCCTTTTGGGTGGGCCATAACCTGGTTACCCTTTTGTTAAATTATTGATGGGCTAAGTGTTATTTAATAGAGCCCAACGCCAAACTTGTAGGTAACATAATTGGCGTCTAAAATCTTAGGGTAACAACAGGAGCAAGCGGTAGCAACAACGGCAGCCTGATTACCACTATTATTAGGCAGAGCAGAAGGATCTTAGACAAGTCAGAGGGATTATAGGAGGAGTGATTTTCTGTTAACTTGTAAGGAATGACTGAGTATGCCTGTAAATAAAGCTAGATGCCTGTGTCTGAGTGCGATCCACCCCCACCCATTCTGTGATCATTTGGCCAGCACTCACAGGATGTTAGTGTTAAATAATAAATGATTTCGTAATATGTAATGTTAAGTATTACATTGTAACCACATATAGTCTGTGTATTCTGTGCATTTTATTCTCTTGCACTGCTTCGGTACACGATTTCTAAATGAAAAATAATTGTATTCTATGATGTCTTATAGATTATAGTTTTTCATCTTTCTTGCTTCATTGAATGTATTGTAACTGATTATTTCTTTTAAATAAATGTCAATCCTTTGAGTGGAGGGCTTTATCCGTATCCTCCCACGAGTTAGCAGAATTAGTCTGCTCTGGGAAGTCCTCTGTGGCTTAGGGACAAACCCCCTAGTAAAACCCTGGCAATTCCTCTAGGGCGAGCCACCCCTTATTTACCCATTTGGGTGGAGTAAATTAACAATCAATTTATGGTTATGGGCAAGCCAGGATTGAGGGTGCCTTGAGTACAAATAGTGGGATAACACAGTCAGGTGGCAAAATTTGCAGGTGATACAAAATTATTCTAGATAGTTAAGACCTAAGCTAGCTGTGAAGAATTACAAAGGGATCTCACAAAATTGGGTGACTGGGCAACAAAATGGCAGATGAAATTCATATTGATAAATGCAAAGTAATGCACATTAAATGAAGGGGTCTAAATTAGTTGTTACCAAGCAAGAAAGAGATCCTAGAGTCATCATCGATAGTTCTCTGAAAACATCTGCTTGATGTGCAGTGGCAGTCAAAAAAGCTAACAATGTTGGGAACCATTAGGAAAGGGATAGATCATAAGAGAATATCATATTGCCGCTATATAAATCCATGGTATGGCCACACCTTGAATACTGTATGCAGTTCTGGTTGCTTGATCTTAAAAAAAAGACACATTAGAACTGGAAAAAAAAGACAGAAGGGCAACAGTAATGATGAAGGGTATGGAACAGCTTCCATATGAGGTGAGATTAAAAGGAATGGGACTATTCAGTTTAGAAAAGAGATGACTAAGGGGCGATATAATAGAGGTCTATAAAATCATGAATGGTGTGGAGAAAGTGAATAGAGAAGTGTTATTTACCACTTCACATAACACAAGAACTAGCAGTCACCTAATGACATTAATAGACAGCAGCTTTAAAATTAACATAAGGAAGTACTTCTCCACAGAATGCACAGTCAACCTGTGGAACTCACTGCCAGGGGATGTTGTGAAAGCCAAAAATATAACTGTGTTAAAAAACGAATTAGATAAATTTGTGGAGGATAGGTCTATCAATGGCTATTAGTCAAGATGGTCAGAACACAACCCTATGCTCTGGGTGTCCCTAGCCCCTGTCTCCCAGAAGCTGAGAGTGGATGACAGGGGATGGATCATTTGATAATTGCCCTGTTCTGTTCATTCCCTCTGAAGCATCTGGCACTGGCCACTGTCGGAAGACAGGATACAGGGCTAGATGGACCACTGGTCTGATCCAGGTTTGCCATTTTTATATTCTTATGACATATACGGAAACAGTTCTGTTATTTTTGTTATTCCTGCCACTACAAATTTACTGGCACTTATGTTGGTTCTAAATTCCCAGGCAAAAATGTTGTGAATATCTATCAATTACTTAAAATAAGAGATCTTTAACAATATAGTCTTCTTAAAAAACAAACAGCACACACATCACAAGTCCTGGAAATGCAGAGATAATTTTTAGGTTCACAATTATTAGAACATATGGAAAGGTACAGTTAAGGCCACCAAAATGACCTAGCATTACTCCCATCTTTCACAGATCTGCCACCACCAGCAATTACTGCACCTTGTTTATAAGACAGAGACATTTTGATGAAGGACACTTGAGGAAAGATATTTTGGAAAATGTTTAAAGAAGTTCACAGCTTTGGCCTATGGATTTCTTAAATACATTAAATCTACTTAATGCATAATTTGCTGCTTGAATGGAGAAACTATTGGCTTTGGTTTTGTACATAATGTAACTGTTACTCTTGTAGTTCCCCATTCTTCCTACCCTGAGCTCTTATCGTGTAAGATGTCTAATTTTTCATCTGGACTTAAGAGATTTATGGCTACATGTTTATATTATGTCTCACATCATAACACTTTTACCTTATAAACCCGGCCAATGGGAGCTGTGGGAAGCGGCACCTACAGACGAAGGTTCTGCAGGGACATGCTGGCTGCCTCTTCCCACAGCTCCCATTGGCCGGGAACACAGAACCACAGCCACTGGGAGCTGCGGGGGGTGGTGCCTGCGGACGGTCAACGTCAGCAAAATGTCTCACAGCTCGCTATCAGATTACCCTGATGGGCCGCAGGTTGCCCACCACTGTTATAAACCCTGCATATCTTGGGAAATTGTCTTGAATAACCAACCATCCTGATGGTAGTCACCAGTGAATAGATGTAAAAAATCTTCTTTTCTGACCACTGGGAGATAGCTAATGTAGGGGGAAAATACAATGGATATATTTCTAGAATGGTCATCATACTGCTAAATTGCCTCTTTTTTCAGAATCAAAAGACGTTAAAGAAAATTGGAGTTTTTAGTGCTATCTATCCAAAATCCAAACCCCACTGTTAAATAATAGTTCAGGAAGTGAGACTGTAGTGAGAGATTCTGCTTTGAATGTTCTAAAGTACTTTGCAGCACCTTAATAGAGGCTTACAGAAAACCCTTGGAAGGGGCTTAAAAACGCTGTAGAATTCACTTCTTCCAATTGATATAATTAAGGTGGCGACAGTATCAGAACACTTTGGTTTGCATAAAAGAGTAATTAGTTTTAAGATTAAGGCTCTAATTAAGTAGAAATTAATGACAGTTTAAATTTAGAAAATCCAACATGGCTGATCAAAATGGCAGGGATGGTGATGACATAGTTCAAATTTAGGTAGGGGAAAGTTCCAGCAAACAAGATGGCGTTAGAGAAAGGAGCTTAGAAAGGTCTAGAATCTAAGATGGCATCGGGGAGGAGCTTTCCTACCTAAAAATAAGTATGATGTCGTGGGGAGGAGCTGAAAAGCTAGAAGCTGATTGGCTGAGAGGATCTGAACTTGAGAGAGCAACTAGTATACAAGGCCGACAGCCAGCAGGCTGAGTATGTAGTGGGTTTGACAGCAGGCTGAGATTGTAGGAGGCTTTCAGCTAACAGGCTGAAGGTAGTGGGTTTGAAGCTTTGCATAAGAACGGAAGCTGCCTGAAAAGAAGAACTAAACAGCCTGAAAAGCAGCTACCTGAAAAGCAACTACATGGAAAAACAGCAGCAGCAGTAGAATTCTAAGGTTGCCGTGACAACGAGCAACTGCCTGCTAGCAGCTACTTTGCCAACAGCAACAGAAGAGCAGCAACCGCCATTGCATCTGCAGCCCGACTGAGCAACAGCACAGCTGTGGAGCCCATACTTCTGGAAACCAGACAGAGCAGAAGGACCAATTAGATGGGTCAGAGGGAAATTTTGAATAAAAAGTTCAAGTCTGATCTTCTTTCCAACCTATTATTTAAGAGTGTAAAGATTTGTTTGTAAATAAAGCTGGATGCCTGCATCTTGACTGAGATCTCCCTTACCCGTCTTGTAACCGCTTGGCCAGCGCTTACAGCATGTTAAATGTTTAATGTTAAGAGTTAATGTTGATGTCAAGTAAATGTTTATTTTTAATCTGTGAATACGGTAATGGTTTTTCATATGTGTACAGAGGTCACGTATACCACATGGTATTAAGTACAGGGTTAAACTGTATCACTAAAGCTAAAAGCCTTTGTGTATATGGGAATCTCTATGCGCATGTTATATTGAAACTACTGTATTTCCTGTATGTGATAGTTATCCTATATAGTCTGTGTCTTTCATTTTATTGCGTCGCTTTTAAATGTAATTCTGTTGCATTTTACTACAGTCTATGTATTCTCTCTTGCTTCATTAAACACATTGAAATAACCAATTATTTCTTTAAATAGACAATTCTTTTGTTTTCAAAGAATTACTGCTGTGTGTCCATCCTTGAGCGGAAGGCTGTATGTGTGTCCTTTTAGGGGTTAGTAAGACTAGCTTTCTCTGGGGAGCCCTCTGGATTTGAGACAAGCCCCCTGGTAACATCCTGGCAATTCTTTTAGGGCAACCACAACCTTGTTACCCTTTAGTTAAATTATAAGCGCTATCGTAGGCTAACATAACTGGGGTCTAAAATTTTAGGGTAACAAGATCACCTCATTCTTGAACCCTCAGATCTTCCAAATAATTTAATTTACCTTAAACATTCTAGAAAAATACTACCCTTCCATAACATTATAATTATGAAATTAAAGGCTCATAATGGAAGGCAATCTCAATCTCTAAGGATGGGAAGACTAGCATCTCTACATATTTATCCATTGGATTGTTAAGTGACACACTTTCAGCAATATCTCCATTTTTTCCAGCGTTTTTTTGCTAGACTTCCACTGCACAGCTGGAAAGTGTGTATGAAAGGCATCTTGATCTAATTTAAATTTATATACTGAGTTATCTTCAGGAAGAGTCCATGTCCAGCTAGTAGACATTCCCTGAGGAATTACACCAGTACAAAATAAATCTTAATGCTGTCAAATGCTAAAAATTGGAAGTGGGGTGAGCTAAGCCCATAGATATCTGGGTATACAAAGAACATCCCACTTTAGTCTTGGACAATTCATTCCATAGATAAATTTGCTCACCATTTAATTTAATTTCCTTAAAAAACTATTTGGCAGTTTAATGGGAAGCAATGAGGTCACCTGCATAAAGCTTAGTAAGGAACCATTTTGCAATACTAATCCTGTCCAGCTAAGATCTGGATTTGCTTCCTGCTTCAAATCTCCAAATACCTTATTCAGAACAGAATATAATTATATTTGAACAGTGTGTCACACCTAGTGGGGACATTAATTAAAATATTCCATGATTAAAACTATGTCAGGCAAATTTTAAACTTATCTAGAAGCAACTAATCAAGACACAGCACTAAGAGGATGGATTTGGGGAGGTTAATGTGACAGCCTGACTGAACTCTATTTTCTCTAGGACACAAATTAATGCATAAATAGGTATGTGGGTCAGAGCTAGAAATGCCAGCAAATGACCTACTGATAGAACCACGCAGAGCTCCATTTCGCTTGACAAACCTGGTCAAAATTTCACACAGCAGATCGGAAAGAACCACGCCTACAGTGAGAAAGCAGGTAGTGTTGCCTAGTTCCCCCACACCAGTTTGAAGGGTTGAGCTCTGACCCCACACATTTTCTCTTGCTTCAGCTGCTCTTCATCAGGATGAACAGCTGACTTTAAGGTCTTTGGCCCAAGAAGGTGGGCGTAGTGAATAGCCAGCTTTCTCTGCTGCTGCTTGCCTCTGAAAGGGATGTTGTAAAACTTCCTGCAGGAGATGAACCTAGAAACAATTAAAATTCAGAAGCCATTCCACACAAAATTGTTTTGCAGATTCCCTGGGGCAAAACATACTAAGCGTTGAACTCACTCAGGGAATTACTCCTCTAACTGTTTATTACTACCACTATTGGAGGGCAGTACTGGTCAAAAGTGTTATGAACACAACACTCATTTCATTAGCTCCATAAATGTAATTAGTACGTAAGTAGACAGTTTTACCTCTGAAAAGTCATTCATTTTAGCTTTTTGTACTGCTGATTCTGCCATCCAATTCCTAAGTACATATCTAGGATTGATAGCTGCAATCAAAGGAAAATCCAGTTGAATTTGGTTATAAAAAGTTGAATACATACCATATAAAAGCAACCCATATTTCTTGAATATTTTAATTGAAAGGTCACTTAAAAGGTTAGTACACAATTAAAACAAAACAAAAAAACAGTGGCATAACAGGAAAAGAATTAATTAGCCATATTTTTACATATAGTAATGCCATAGTACCATTGTTCTTCTTTTGTAAGTATTTTTTATTACTAAACAAATATTTAGATGTTTTTTATTTTTAATGGGGGTTTGAAATATGTTAGAAAAATTAACTTAATGTGAAGTGTGTACTTGACCAATTTGTAAGCAACCAGGCTACAAACAGAGAGAAAAGGGTGGTATTAAATACTATGATGCAAAGAAGATTTCTCAGTGCGGATCACTAATTCACTTTTCATTAGTGGTTAGCATATTGAAATCTAGATTTTTGGAGTCAAGTGAGGGGGTGATTCTGCATAAATGATCCTTTATAGGCTAATATATTTGGGGGGGGGGGAATTATTTATTTAGATTTAAAACTATAAAAAAGATGTCTACTCCAAGGTCTTAGGTGCCTTTACACCTTCAATAATTATGAAATACAATGAAATTCCAGCAGTATTGAAATAATCATTCCATCCAGACTCTTTCCAACCCTTTAACATTGAGGGATGCACACCCTCAGCCTTCTCTAAAAGCCCAGTGAAACAGGTTTCTTTTGCTGTGTGGTGCTGTGTGCCCAGGAGGTTGCCAAATTTTGACTATTTCAGAGCAAGGGAGGAGGCAGGGGGAGCAAGTTCTAGAGTCCTGGAGCCTTCTCAGAGAACGCCCTCCCAACTGCTCTCCTCCCTTTTATAGTGAGGGGGATCCAGTTCAGGTGCCTCTGCTGACTGCACAAGTAAGGACACAAATTGCCATTGTCAATGTATTATTAAGGGTTATAATATTTATTATTATAATAAATCATGATATAGCTTAATGACAAAAGGGCTGAATAATATTAATGAGAATAAAATTATACTTAGACATTAGTTTCTGAATTTTTCTTGAGGTTCACACATCAAGATGCTGACCAGAGAAGCTTTCAAAGCTTTATGTAGCAATTATTTCAACCTACACTTTTGGTTTGTGATTCTTGTATGTCTTTCCTGTGCTTTATACAGTTGTTCTGTTCTTACTGTGGGTAAATAAAACCATCTTTTGCTTTCCACTGTTGTCATGTTGCTATGAACCAAGAAGTTGAATAAAGGCAAAGGGGAGGATAAGAAGCCTAAGATAGTTAAAATTCTAAACATGCCACATTAAAATAGGGCATAAGTGGGCTCAGGAATCAGCACTCTGTCCTGAACAGCTTCAAACAACTCAGCAAATGGAAGCATCATAATCATAAAAACGGCTTTTTTCCAAAACCTGTTGGAAGCATCCATGAGAGCCACATTTCTTCTCTGACAGGTTTCAGGCTGTTTATATCTAATAAGGGGCAGTCCAATGGACTCTGAAAATGAGACTGCTGAATTATTAGATCACACAAATGATAGACTACAAAGGAGTTTATCCTGCATCTTGGGATCAAGAAAAATTCTTATAAGCAAACAGACTTTAATTCTCAAATTCCTGGCTGATATCACTCAGACAAGTCCTAATTTTCCTCTGTAATTAAAGCATGGCCTTCTGGTTCAGTATGTTTTCTTTCAATTAATGACCAAAAGAATATCTACCGATTAAATCTGTTTCTTAAACCTGTTAAACTCCCAGTATAAATCTTTACATGACACAGGAGCAGTGTATTTTCCCAGGGTCAGTACCTGACTATTCCTTTATATTAAATCAATCAGCAGTACTAGACGCACTATTAGCCTTAGCATGAAGGGTCTATGGTTTTTGCTCACACAACTAAGGCTCATTTGTTCCAATCATTTTGAAAGGGGAGATGTTCTAGTACAGGAGTTCTCAACCTTTTTCTTTCTGAGGCCCTACCCAACATCCTATAAAATCTTCATGGCCCAACCGTGCCACGACAACTCTTTTTCTGCATATCCAGTAGATTAAAAGCCAGGGCTTGCGTTAGGGGCTAGTGAGCAGGGCAATTGTCCTGGGCTCCATACCACAGGGGGCCCCACAAAGCTAAGTTGCTCAGGCTTTGGCTTCAGCGCCGGGTGGTGGGGCTCGGGGCCTCGGGCTTCTGCCCCACATGGTGGGGCTTGAACTTTCCGCCCTGGGCTCCAGCAAATCTCATGCCCCCTGAAACCTACTCGCAGCCCCCCCACGGGGCACCGGACTCCTGGTTGAGAACTGCTGTTCTAGTAGATGTCCCAGTAGTTTTAGTGTGAATAACACTTGTTTCAAGCCATAGAAAATGTTTAAAGAATAAAAAATATTTATAAAAAAAAAAAAAATATGTAACCTTACAAAATATGCTTTGAAATAGTCCTATGGCATATTGTTCGAGGGGGAAAAAACAGACAAAATACCATTGATAAAATCCTGAACCCTCAAATCATCTCTCAACTTGTCCCTCACTATGTTCCTTATTTCAGATTAAAATTTAACTCTTCTCCACATAATGCCATTTTCTTCTGTCCTTTGTAAACAAAAGCATTGATACTATAGAATGCTTTTGTTTGCTTGCAAATGTATACCTTGTAGGCAGCAGGTCAGCACCTAAGAATTCACATCAGAGAGAGACTAGGGCCCTGATCCTGCAAAGAGATCCATGGGGATCACCCTTAAGGTAGAACTGCATTCACTTTTGATGGTTTCCTTTGCAGAATTAGGGCCTAGGACAATAAACATACTTCTCTGGTAATATGCACAATTTATAAAAAGCACAACAAATCCAGTTAATAGCTAGTATTTCTTGAAGATCTAACTGCCTATGCAGTAGGTTAAATAGAACTTGTATGACTACGCAGTGACTCATAATTCTATTACATTCCTTACTTTGGGAATTGGACATTGGCAGTTTGAAGCAACAAGACTCATTATAGGCAATGCAGCAGAAGAGGTTGATACTTTACGTTATTTAGAAAGGAGAGTGAGCTATACAACTGAGTTGGGACTCTGGTTTTGAACTCTGAGCTCTACAGGCTCCCCAAGCCAAAGCAGACTAGCAATGCTGCAGAGGTGAAGCTCTCCTTCAGAGTGAAAGTGCAGTCTGAAATCTCAGGCACTGCATTTCGTGAACCAGTTTCAAAATGATTTTCACCCCACAAATAAACACATTGTTAGACAGAGATAATACTGCTACTAAAATGCACGTTTCATCAGTGTGTTCAGGTAAGTCTCAACTACCGTTTTCCTTAAGACTTAAAAATATATAGTTATTAACAACATTCCTTCCGGACAGTATTTTTTTATTTTAACAAGATAGTACTACTCTGTATGCATTCAGTGCTTTTCATCCATTAGAAACAATCACCAAGTAAGCCTAACACTCTCCCAGTGAGGTTGGTTTCTTCATTTTATGGATAGAGAAACTGAGGCACAGAGTGGAGAAATAATTTGCCCAATATCCTAAAGCAACTCAGTGGTAGGGTCAGGAATAGAATTCAGCCATGCCAATATCCAGAATCCTGCCTTAACCACTAAAGCTCTGCCTCCCTCCAGTGCAATGTGATCTACTTTGTCCAAGCATTTGATCTAATCCATTACATTGCTTTTCAGGAATAAACTAAAAATATAGTAACAATATCAAAGAATACTGCAACAGATGGGAAAGTAACATGACTCACACTAAAATGACAACTCACATTGAAACAAGGACTCACAGTACCAGGAGGCAATACAAATTCTATTAAATAATATTAGTCCCAAGCACATATATCCTGAACAATAGCAAACTGACAAGTTTGACAGTGGATTATCTCTTCTGTATAGAAAAAAATGTTAAGAATTAAAATTAAATACAGCGGACCCTCGCTTGAACGCGCGTCTGTATAGCGCGATTTCGCTTATAGCGTAGGACCGTGCATGGATCCCGAATTTAATTAATTACATTGGGATCCATGGTAACATGGTCCCTGCGCATGGATCCAAAACCCTGAGTTCAAGCGGGAATCCAGTGTGGTATTAATCAAGGAGTTCTGAAGGAATTTAAGAATGAAGTGGGTGAGCTGTCAACAAAAATGTGCAATCTTTTACTAAAATCAGCTTTTATACCAGAGAATGGGAAGGGAGCAGATATTATACTGATCTTTAAAGAAGTTAATGGGGAGGTTTTGGGAATTTTACATCAGCAAGCCCTTACTTTAGTATCAGGTAAATTGATTGAAATGACAATTAAGAAGATAATTATAAAAGAACTAGATGAACTGGATATGAAAGGAACAAACCAGCACAGCTTCTGTAAAGAAAAATTGTACCTCTCTGACCTACTTGAATTCTTTGAGCTGGTCTATGAAACTGAATAAAAGAACATGACAGAATGTATTTGGACTTTCAAAAATTCTTTGACAAACTCTGTAATAAAAGGCTGTTAAAAAGCTAAGCGGTCATATAGTGAAAGATGAAGTATAATCAGAGATTAGAAACTGGCTATTTGAGAGAAACGAAGAGTAGGAATAGATGGTTAATTTTCAACATGACCCAAGGTTATGTAGTAGGACCAGTGAAGTTTAAATCATTTATTAATGATCTGGAAGAGGGGGTGAACAGTGAGATGGCAACATTTGCTGATTACACAAAATTATTTAGGTAATTCAAGACTAGAGATGACAGTGAGGAAATTCAAAGGGATCTAACCAAGCTAGATGAATGCACAGCACCTGATAGATGAAATTTGATGTGGACACATGTAAAGTAATGCACAGTTGACTAATTTGAGTAGGATATTGATAATCTAGGTTTAGATTATCAGATATAAATTAGTTGCAATTTATATCATCAGAGAACAAGAATTGTAGGTAAGCACTTTTCTTTTGTACCCATGGCATCTATTGTAATAAACCACCACAGATACTCAGAAGCGCTATATGAAAACTATATAAACACAGGTGGT